GGCACAGAAGGAGACGACTATTAGGTCCACAAGAATTGGATTGAATGCAAGACTGAAGATAATGACCACTCATTTCCATCGGATATCGTCACCATATATGAGTGAATGCAATGAACAGGGTATGTGGTTTTTAATTTATCCAAATAGTAGGCCCTTAATCTAGTACATTGTTGCCGGTAATTGGAATCCCAAAATAATTATACAAAGTTTATAATCCTCTAAATTAAATTTGTGAATAAGTAATTATTTGTGAATTTATGATTTGTTTTTTATTTATTTATTTTTATTTTAGGATTAGTAAACAGTTATTCCGTTTGTTTTGTTAAATGCATTGAATATCTGTATTACCAAACATACAAATGTTTACCCAATGCTTAAAGCAGTGGTTCAAAATCTCACTTTTGATTAGTTTTATATAAATTGTTTCTCAAATTATTTGATGTATTATTTGTTTCTGTAATCTCATTGTAAATCCATTTATGAGTTGTTGTTTTCAAACACTTTTTAGTTTTTATTAAACGATTTTTATATTTCATTACAAAATGCTATATTTTTATTGATTTTTGATTCAAAAAGTTGAGTACACTTTATACGAGAGTTTTGTTTTATAGGATTTGCGTTGAAATCTTAATCCTCTGTCTCTAAGGCTATACTTATATTGAGTTCAAAACTTGTCTTAAATTACAATCGATTTGACAAATAATCTACTGTTATATCTATGACTAAAACAATCAATACTTGTGTTCAACAAAAAAGTATTAAAGTATTTCATGTAATGTTTGAATAATATATTCGCATAAAGTTTCCGGAAATTAATAAAACAAATAAATTGAACGACAAAACGTGTGTTTAATTATCAATACTATAAGGCCTTCTCGACACAGGCGCCCGGCCACACCTCCCCGTCAATCTGGAAAAAGTAACGCCCTCTTAAACCGTTACCACAGCCCCGGGTGGTCAGGTAGGATACGAGAGGGTTTTGCGAGTACGGCTTGAATTCGTAGGTATGGGAAGTGTCACCGGCGTTGAAACCCACCTATAATTATAAATGCATTTATTATATAACCCTTAATTAGGATTTATGGGTAAACTTCTAAACACCGGGACTTACATAAGCTGCCGACCCCTTGAGACCCTCGTAGTTGTCCTGATGGGTAATCCACTGGATTTGTTCGTAATTAAACATAGCGTACGTCCGGATCTCATCCGTGGCCAACACGCACTGGTATGTGTTTGTCTAGAATTATATAGAAAAGTTAGAAAACTTTTCTACAGTTCCACGAACTCGTAATGAGTCCGGGTATTACTCAACACTTACCACAAGTGGCATCTCAGGTCGCCTATTGACCATGGTCATGTTCCGCCACGTGATTATCAGCGCAAACTTAGGCTTGAAATCGGAGGCACCGATCATACCCTCCCGGAAGTCATAGTATATGCGATAACCACAAGTGGCATCTCAGGTCGCCTATTGACCATGGTCATGTTCCGCCACGTGATTATCAGCGCAAACTTGGGCTTGAAATCGGAGGCACCGATCATACCCTCCCGGAAGTCATAGTATATGCGATCTCTTAACGTGATATTTTGCTCCGACTCAAGGTTTACGATCTTTAAGTAGACGCCCGCGTGCGGCACTTCCGTAGGTATGTCCTGCTGTGCAAACCAGGGGGCGATCATCGAGGGGTCCTCCTCCATAAGGTTATCCTTGGGTACGAACGGGAACTTCACGGGAAACTTGTACGACAGTAACCCCTTATTGAAGGCCAGGTAGCCGTCCCTTTGGATCTGTGAATGAATTATGTAATTGAAAACTCGTGTTACGATATAATTCCGTGTATTGGAGTCAACGATATGCTTAATCCCATGAATTAGCAAATTTGTGAATAGCTTTGTTTCTGTGATAACTGAACTCAACCATCAAAACAATGATTGCGTTCAATATTTGGCTCATTTTATGGGGGATTAAAGTTTAGGAGCAATGAGTGAACGCTCTGTAGGTATTCAATGTCTAACTCTAATTGCTATGGCTTTAAGCCATGAGAGGGATGATTGATCTTCAGAAGCGCTTAAATGTGTCTATTATTATGTGATCACATAATTGTTGCTAAAGTTTTTCTAATTATGTATTTTCCTTATGTTTCGCACTATTCGTGACAACAAAACCGAGTAATTATCGAAGAATTTAATGCAAAAGACATTCAAATGAGGAGTCATTTACCCAAATATAGTGATACCAGAAGCCAAAGAATGGCAGTCGGAATGGCAAGGGCTGGTCGTGTAGGGGTTTGGCTGATGTAATCTCCGTGAAGTCGCTCAGGTTGTACGGGTACATGAGCTCCTGTCGGAACTGGATCATATCGCCCAGTATTTGGGGGCCGACCGGTGGCACTGGTCTCGCATTTCCCGGTATAAATATAGGCGCTATAAAAGTCGCTCAGGTTGTACGGGTACATGAGCTCCTGTCGGAACTGGATCATATCGCCCAGTATTTGGGGGCCGACCGGTGGCACTGGTCTCGCATTTCCCGGTATAAATATAGGCGCTATAGTCAGCCATAAAAATTAATTATACAGAAATATAACATTATATATAATAAAAGTTGAATCCAATCAAAGATTTAAAGTTAAAATTAAAAAGTAAACCTAAGTTGTGTAAAGGTATTGGGATATGGAGTACGAGAAAAGCAAACAACTGTTCACTTCAATGGATAACTTATTTACAGTTAAAAAGTTATCGCGAGTTATGAAAGCTTATGAGCAGTACATTGCTATCGACGTTAGGCTAACGGTAACCTATTTTACAAATCTTTGTTTGAATGGATACTATAATTTACTAATGGATTAAATGATTGAATATTAATCCACAAAATGTGATTTAAAGCCAAAGTCATACATACCTTGTCCTGAGCGCACCGGCCCATGATTTAGATCCTGGGATTTACTTATGGATGAAAATAATATGACTGTGAATATGAATGATATGAATATTCTTGTGCTTTGAAAACTATTTAAATTCATTTTCTGATAGATAACTTTTCGTATGGTATGAATACTTGAAAACTTTCACATTATATGAATAATGAAATTGACGAATTGAGTTGAAAAACCGTTTTGAGAGATACTTTTAATTTAACACTTTTGATTATTGTTACTTGATTATTGAAATGATGAACACTAACTGAAAAACACAAATCAGTATTGAATTTCTAAATACAATTAAATGTGGTCTTTAACTGCTAATAACCACACCCTAAGCCTGAGTTAAATGAAGTGCTTTCTCGTCGTTATAAAGATATGAGACTATTATATATTTAATAAAGTTTTTGCAAAAACACAGCGCAATCACACTAATATATAATACAAGGAATAATACCTAATATTTAATATCTAAATAGTGAAAAAGTCTAATGTAATAGAGGGTCTCAACCAATATAACGTTGATATTAATTGTTATCTCCAGTCCTCTTAACAACTGTTATTCACTCGTAATATTGACTCTTATTTGTCATAAATATATTGCATTTTAAGATAAAATTCAATTAGAGTTTGAAATATTAATTTTACACAATTCCGGAAACTACTATTCCGTGGACAAAACAATGTTAAATTTCATAAAAAAGTATATACCGTAACAATTTTTATTTGTAAGACTGGTCAGTCATTTTTCCTATATTGTTTTAATACTGTAATAGTCTATTACTAATAGATATTAATTTTCTTTGCATATGGTTTCAGATCTCTAACCTATAATCATATTTAGTTCATTTATACACTGACCGCACAATCGATCGATTAAATTAAGTTATTTTCTTAATTTAATTGTCCTTGAATTAGTGTTATTGAACTTGATATTCATGAATTGTCAGTATTTTATGGCATATAATACTCATATAATTTTAGTTAAGTTCAGTAATATTGATTGAATACATTGCTGGACAACAATTTGATGGCATTTAATATTTATTTGCTATCTATGAAATATTTTACTAGCAACTCATTTTCTAAATGCTATTACAGTATACAGTATTGTGAAAAATGGTAACAAAATTCTACTAAATGACAAAAAATTCACTAATTAAACCATAATACATGTCAAAGTGATTTAGTTGTGAAAATGTTTGCACGGAATGGGAATTCGTTGAAACACTAGTCTATCGAAAGAATTTTATCGCAAAAAATATGATTAATATATTGAAGTACTCTTTCATTCGTGTGTAAAATCAACGAATAATAAACGGTTCATACAATTGAAAAAATAGTTAAACAATTTGTTTTTGTCGCCGGAAGTTATGACTAAATAGCAGAATATTTTTATTAGTAGAGTAGCGTTAAGAATATTTCAAATCTTGATTATCATTATATAATATATCGGATCGGAAGCCTAATCCCCTAATGCACTGATTTTTTGTATATTTATTATGTTTCTTATTTGTCGTATAATTTATATACCATATGAAAGATTTATAAGAGTTTAAGGTTTTTATTTCCTATTTATTATTTTCATTTTATGTCAAGTTTTAAATAGATTTTCTTTTTTGAATTATATTAAATACCATAAAATTTAAATAGACATTAGAAATTATTTTTATTAAACATCATAAATGTGTATAAATATTTTAAATATTTAATAATAGCATGAAATTAGCATAAAATGCTAGTTGTCTTGGAATCGAAAATTCATTTATGATTACAATAAACGGCAAATTTGGTACAAACACCATAATACTGAATATAACTGAAGTGAAAAGCACTGCATATTATTGTTATGAATGATAACACAATAAGTGATGAGAATTATAGTCTTGAGTACAAAGTCCAGTCAAACATCACTTCATATTGAGTGCAATCATTGAAAACAAAATTCTTATCATTAAATAATAGGTTTCCTATAAAATAAAGTTCAAAACTGTTAACTACAGTATATTTACACTTTGCCTAATTTAATTGGCACTCATTTATATAACACATGAATTTTTATATAACATATAAATAGTAAATTGATGGCAAACCGCAAGCATTAAACGCTAACTTTCAGTCCATTAATAAAAACATTTATGATTATGATTATAAAATTAATGATAATATTATGTGCAAAGGGTTTGCAAATAACACACGACTAACTCATAAGTGTTTGATATGATTGGCGAAACAGTTATATAACTTATACACCGGAGTATTATTTGTTAAAAATTCAGTTCAATGTCTTAATAATAAGCGAACAAAATATGATTTATTATTATTCATGACTCCTATCGACGTTTAAACTAATTTCCCGAAAAAATCTTGTTTTTTGTCGAAAAATCTATTTTATATCTTTGAGATCAAAAGGTATTCATTGTATATATCATATATAAAAGAGATAACACTTCTGTATTATTCATATGAATGTTTTTACGTGAAAATTAATTATTTAATAAATAAATCCATTTCTTATATAAACCGCATAATTGAAAACAAAATTCTTATCATTAAATAATAGGTTTCCTATAAAATAAAGTTCAAAACTGTTAACTACAGTATATTTACACTTTGCCTAATTTAATTGGCACTCATTTATATAACACATGAATTTTAATATAACATATAAATAGTAAATTGATGGCAAACCGCAAACATTAAAACGCTAACTTTGAGTCCATTAATAAAAAACATTTATGATTATGATTATCAAATTAATGATAATATTATGTGCAAAGGGTTTGCAAATAACACACGACTAACTCATAAGTGTTTGATATTATTGGCGAAACAGTTATATAACTTATACACCGGACTATTATTTAGTTAAAAATTCAGTTCAATGTCTTAATAATAAGCGAACAAAATATGATTTATTATTATTCATGACTCCTATCGACGTTTAAACTAATTTCCCGAAAAATATTTTCGATAATAAATTTCTAAAAAATCTATTTTATATCTTTCAGATCAAAAGGTATTCATTGTATATATCATATATAAAAGAGATAACACTTCTGTATTATTCATATGAATGTTTTTACGTGAAAATTAATTATTTAATAAATAAATCCATTTCTTATAATTTGGCGTAGTCAGTAGGGTCAACAGACTCCCATATCCGCCGGCTGGTAGAGTAGTCCTTTTGTCCAGATCTAAAAATTCACTATTAATATAAGTAGTATAAAACGATAAATATACTAATATTGACTGAGACTAATAATTGCAGTGTATATCAAATTATGGCCAAAAATTGTACAAGATTTATATTATTGAAAACCAATGGTTTATTTATCACACTATTTCGATACGGAATTTACTATACGAAAGGTATAACACCTGAAAAATAAATTAATTTATGTAAATGAGATGTGTATTGGTAAAATTGTTTTTGAAAAACTACCAGTTTTTGGGTGTTTTCGCGAAATAACCATTTAATCAAACAATTTATTATTTATATCTCTAATGTTGTGATGAGTATAAAAATAGAGACAAAAAACTAGATTTGCTTTTTTGAGCGCATAAAACAAATCTGATGTTTGAGTAATAGATTGCTTTTTTTCCTTTCTTAAAGGATATCTAAGACTAATAATATTTTATGAAAAATTCTTAAGTTTAGGACAACTCTCTCCTAAATGTAGACTAGACTTCCAATCTACCTTTAACTCTATGTTAAATCTCAAAATTAAGTCCATATTTATACTATCGACTGACTTAAGGGCTCCTAAATAGAAAAATCGCCTCAATTTTGGTCTGATTTTCATATCTGAGAATCACTTTTGAAAATTTATTTTTCCAGCCTTTTTAGGTGCTTCAAAATTGGCGTCAATTTAAACCGTAATTCATATTGAATTTAGATCTCACTCTTAATCAGTTGTGTGGCGAGAGGTGTAAGAAAAATTGATTTAATTTTTCACTCATTTAAATGTTTCGGTCGCTTAGGGCTCAGCGAGAGGGAGGCCTGCCTTAGGAATACCATTACTACACATATTACCACACTATTAAGACATTAAAAATAATTTGACTATACCATTTTGTTAATTTATACTGGGTTTTACAATACTGTACATGTATCACAATTTAGTGCGATATTAAACTTGTAAATTAATTTTACTTATTCAGTACAAACATAATGCAATATAATATATTAAAAATTTAATTCACAAGTAACTCTTAAGATTTAGTTACACAAATAAATTTTCCACAAGTCTTATTTTATTAAAATTTTATTCAAAAGAAATCACATTAAAATTGATTACAAAACAATGATTGAGTAAAAATATATATTCAAATATAAATATCATTGAATGAGTTAAAAGTCATGTCATTCGTAGTGAATGAGTGCTCAACAAAACGTTTGAAAATTAGTTTTACATTCAAAGTACAACTGAGAAAACTGATATTATTCGTTGATTTTACACACGAATGAAAGAGTACTTCAATATATTAATCATATTTTTTGCGATAAAATTCTTTCGATAGACTAGTGTTTCAACGAATTCCCATTCCGTGCAAACATTTTCACAATTAAATGACTTTGTCATGTATTATGGTTTAATTAGTGAATTTTTGTCATTTAGTAGAATTTTGTTACCATTTTTCACAATACTGTATACTGTAATAGCATTTAGAAAATCAGTTGTTAGTAAAATATTTCATAGATAGCAAATAAATATTAAATGCCATCAAATTGTTGTCCAGCAATGTATTCAATCATTATTACTGAACTTAACTAAAACTATATGAATATTATTTGAGAATATATGCCTTAAAATACTGACAATTCATGAATATCAAGTTCAATAACACTAAGAATAGGACAATTAAATTAAGAAAATAACTTAATTTAATCGATCGATTGTGCGGTCAGTGTATAAATCAACTAAATATGATTATAGGTTAGAGATCTGAAACCATATGCAAAGAAAATTAATATCTATTAGTAATAGACTATTACAGTATT